TCTAATTGAGGAACGTGACAGGTGAGAGACTACTGCATGCATGCAGCCTGGCATGGTGTATATTATCATGTTTGTTAACTACGAAAATATTAAACATGGGCTTATTAGGAAGATGATATATTTTAAAAATAGTGGTACTAATGCCATGTGATGTTTATAAAGTTTAGAGTTGACTAGTGTCAAGCTAATAAACTAAAAAAAAAAACACTACATTTAATATTTAAATTGCTTTGAATATTTAAGTGAACTATTAGCTTTCAAATAAAAAAAAAACTATTTCTCCATCATATAATAATGTAACTTAGTATAAAACAAATAAAGTGAGACTAGTCATTTTGATTCAATATTTTGATCTTTTATTAGATTTTTTTTTGGAGTATATTTTATACTAAGTTATCTTAAACTTATCAGTGGACCTACTGGTTTTTTTGTTGTTTTTTTTAAAATATAATAATGTTATTTTTGAAATCTTAGATAAAATATTTTGATCAACATCCTTTTTTTTTAAAAATATAATGTTATTGTTGAAATCTTAGATAAAATATTTTGATCAACATCATGTTTGAAGTCTAATCAGAAGGTACAATGACTAGGCTACTTTAGCACAAAGCTTTGTAAAACTGGCTTCATGTATGGGCATAGGCTGGAGGACTCTCTCCAATATCAGTGGGGGGTGGGGGAAGAGGCTTAACCCCCCATCGGGAAAGTCAAGCCTACCCACCAGCTGAGCTTGTTGGGCAGTCGGACCAAAAACACTTTTTTAAATAGTCTACACCAAGTCAAAACATTACTTTCACAGTTGTAGAGTGCCATTCCGGCCATCCAGTGGCCCCTATTTAAAAAAAATCTGCAGAATCATTTTTCGCACGCCCCTCTCCCCCCCATCCACAGATCAGTTCCCGTACTGTTGTAGCTTGACATCTTCCCTCATTTGTGCCTATGGTTTGGCTTAAAAATGTGTCAAATTTGGCTTGGATACCAATATTTACAATTTCTGACTACAGAGAAATAGGAATGTCATTGTGGAGTATCTAATGATCATATTTTAAGAGGAATGCCCTGTAAACACAGGTGTTGCGTATCATTCCATCTATTCTTGGAATAAGCGTGACCATTAAGAATGAATCATCATCAGCTTTTCATTGTTCTGCATACTCGGAATATGATGTGGCCAACCCTCCACCAGCCACTAAAATTTCAACCATTTATGACTAACCTTTAATCTTACGTCTTTACAAGTAAAACCAAAATAATTAGCTATGGCCTCATTAACTAACATCATGCATAACACAGATGATAATTGGTTGAGTCAGAAGGTTAATAAATTATCTGACCTATAATCGTAGTCCCAAGGGTTTTGTAAATAATTTATGTTGAGCCCAAATGATATTATAAATAGTATGAATAATATTGCATTGATTCAATAGGAATCAATTAAGATAATTATTATGACAGGAAACAAAATTAAAATGTCAATGAAAGTGTAAACAAGTAAACAAGTTTAAATTATTAAATTTTTAAAAATTTAATTCATTATCAAAATTTATTAATGTTTTGATAACTAAAAATAGAATATGTCAATGTGTCAAACAATGATTCAATATTATTTCCAAGTCCTTTTACTATTTTAACACCAAATCTCAGTCTGTAATATTACCAATTTTTATCACATATCCCATAGTTTTACAGTAATTTCAACTAGTGGCCATGTTTAATTTTAATACTGATTTTAAATTTGTTGTGAATTTTAATTGTCATTTATATCATTCTGTGTTTTTATGTGAATTTTAGGCATTTCATAATATCAAAGAGACAACAAATTTTGAGTGTAATATTGGACAATGAAAGTTATCTTATTTTATCTTAATGTTTGGTTAGATTTTTTTGTTCTATGTGGCATATATTTTAAAATAAATTCTTGCATATTATAATATCCTAATCAGTACGTATGTAATTAATTATTTGCTTTCTATTTCCTTTGTACCATGGGATGAAATACACTTTTTTTGTAAGAACCAGTAAAATTCTGCCCAGGTTCAGCCGTAATTCAGGCTCAAAATGTTCTTATTTTGACATACTTTTCAAACACAGAAAATTATTATTTTTACAGTCAGTATACTCCTTTACTCTATTTTAGAGTTTATTACATAGTAACACCTACTGCAAATAAGGTAGATAGATTTGGGTTTTTTTTTCTATTAAAAAAAAAAAAATAAAAACCTCATTTGACATTTTCCTGAGCCTCAATTTGCAATTTCAGCCTTTAGTGTTCTTATAAAAAAACTTCATCCATATAGTTAATCTAAAAATCCTAAAATAGAGCATAGTGATGAAATGATAGTTAGAATTTACTAACATGAATACCACATAGCACTACAATGATTGGCTCTTAAATAGTTAACCGATTACAGTATATCTAAAAATTGCGTATCATTCTATACACAGCATGAGCTAGTAATTAATCCCACAATGCATTGCATAGTTTATTCTTGTAATGACTAATAGCTTGGCATGTTTACTTGTAAAAATTAACAAGCAGCAATTAAGAACCCTGATTGGCAGCGTTCATGATTAATAAACACAAATACTTTAGCATAACATCCATTACCATTCTTAATAGTATGTGCTAGCAGATTGACCATGCATCCCATGGTCTCAATTTTTGGACAAAAAAATTGAACAGACCTACACAAATTATAGTCTCAATACATTATCAACATCCTGAAATCTTCATCCTTGTGATTAGACACGATTGTGTTTGGCACCTCGAGTATAGCACATTTGAGGCATGTTGTGGCGAAATGGTTAAGTTGTCGCACAGTACAGTATTGAGTAATGAGATATAAAATATGGGAGCTCAAAAAATTGCCTAAAAATCCAAATTTGTTTTTCACTATTGATAAACAGTTTAATGTCTTATTAATCATGTCCCAAAGTATCAGTTCTGGAAGTGGTTAATAAATTGTTTATTTAATGTTATTTTCCATAGTTCATTCTATTAAACAATGTATGCACAAATAACTTTAAAAGGCATTTACTCAAAATCATGTTTATCTTGACTCTAAGAGTACTGTACTTTCACTTTCCAATAACTTAGGCTTGAAATGTCCAATTTGAATGAATGACCCCTCATTTTAAAGATCACATACTCAGGTATCTGAAAATACCAATAACTTGAATTTCAATTTTTGCTACAACTTAGCCATTTTGCCACAACATGCCTCATTTGACTAAATAAAATGGCCTTTTGTGAAACATAGCCTACTTTTGAAACAACAACCTAATTTTGTTATTCATTTTGGAAATTTTATTTGCAAAACAATTAAGAGTTTTGCGATTAAATTTGGGACCTGTAAATGTAATTTTGTTATCAATATTGGAGCTTTTATTTTGTAAAATAACTGAAAATCATGCGATTTAGTTTGGATTTGCTGGTAGATTGTTGTTGTACTGATAGCAAGGTATTCGAAAACCAAGCTAAACAAAAGATAACATTGTTATGTTTAAGTGGTATAGACTGTGAAGCAATAAGACAATAACAGAGTAAATATACTTTGTTTGTATGTCTATATGGTATTTATTACTGGTAGATATTTAGCTACTTTGACCTACTGGTCTGCACTGAGCTCAAATTTCATTTATTTTATATAATGCCTAATAACAAAAAAGTGCAGTGCTATTTAATATATTTGAAGCAGACAGCAAACAAGAACAATTAGC